AGGTTTTAGAGCCATTGATGAGTTTTCAATGAACGGAACATGTTCGATTTGGAACGCAGGAATACGTCATGGTAGGATGAGAAAACATAGGGTGAAGATGCAAACTTCACAGTCGGGCCAGACACGAAAATCGATCCTCTTATTTCAGAACTCCATCCGCGCTGCCTCCTACAGATGTATGACTAACTGTCTCCCTCTGCTGGATCAACGGAAACCATGGCCACGTACCATTTATTTTGTCCAATCAACTGTATTAAATAATTTGTTCTATTATCATTATTATACTTAAAGTTTCCGACGTATATAGCTTGATTAGATGTTCCATGTTGTATTTTCCTTACAAAAACGGTGTCTACTTATTTTATTTAACTTTTATCTCAGTTCTCACCTGCAGTCACTGGATGGATGAATCTTGAGCTACAAATTTGTGTTTGTATTACTCGCCCGTCGCGTCCGGACTTACGTAGCCCCGGTAAGCCTTACGTCATATTTATGCTGCCTTGCAATTCTGCAGCTAAAGAGCAAGGAGAAAGGCTGCGTTTTTTACATGTTTTGTGGGAAAACCCGTCTAATGAAAGGAAGCGTTTGTTTTGGTGGTGGGGGCTTGCCATCCGAATCCTACCGACTGTCCGTCTGAAATAGGGAATGAACGACGAGACAGCCTCGGACAGCTGGAACAGAAACTCCGGGTGCTCCAGGTGAAAGCTGCATTCAGGCTAGGCTAACCTATCATGGGGGTGATCGAAGAGTTTAGCATTAGCATCGTTTAACCCATTGCCTGTCAGGTTAACTGTTAAGGCGACACGACAATCGTTTACCCAGTTAAAATGTATTGATTAGCAATCTTGTTGTAATTGGCAGGGGTGTAGAATTAAACGACAGTACATCATTTGAAAAGCTCGGTTTAATATTTCGGTCATCAGTCCTGTTGAGCAGTAACATTCTAAAGGGTGGGCTATGACTAGGAAGGACTATAGACTAAAATTTACTTAATTATATATACATTTTTTTCTTGATTGTTCTAATTCCTGCGCTCCTTCCTTCCTTTAAGTTGTATGTTGTTCTTGCATCCTCACGTTCATCTTCGCTAAAACCTACATTTCCTGCCTTCCTGCCCCCCAGACCCACTATAATCTTCGCATCTTTTACTTTCCGGCCTTATTTTCTTTTTTCCTTCAAACTACACCCACATTTTATACTTGCACCCTTACATTCTTATTTCACCGAAACCTACTTTTCTTCCTTCCTTCACACCTGCTTTTTATCCATGACTTTCTTCCTTTATGCACCTCAGACATGCTTTTTTCCTGGCATCTTTCCTTCCTGCCTTCTATCCCCCAAACCCCTCAAAAAATATCATTTTAGAGATAATGATCTGTGATAATTTTGCTCACAATTATCATGCTATCTGAATTTAATATTGGCCCAAGCCTCCCCGTCTGTACCTGTTCGATGTTGCTTGAGAATCAAGTTTTGTTTGTTCTCGACTCAAATTATTTTCTGTTTTTATTTTTATGATAATTTTTGTTTCTATCCAGTATTGAGCAAATGCTGGCTGTGAATCCCGGAAAGACGCCGATTAGTCTGCTGCAGGAATATGGAACGCGGATAGGCAAGACCCCGGTGTATGACCTGCTGAAGGCCGAGGGACAGGCCCACCAGCCCAACTTCACCTTCCGCGTCTCCGTGGGAGAGATTAGTTGCACGGGCCAAGGCCCCAGCAAGAAGGCGGCCAAGCACAAAGCGGCCGAAGCGGCGCTGAAGATGCTCAAGGGGGGCCTGGCAGGTCCCATAGGTTTTGGAATTGAAGGAGACTCATTTATTGGGGTTGATGTCCCTGCAAATGAAGAAAGGTCAGTTACAGTATACATGCAAACATAATCATTAATAACTTCACATTTTAAATGAGCTATCACATTTTTAAATGACCCATCACACTTCAGAGATTGAATATATAATTTTGTACCCCCTCAAGCTCTTTTTTTCTAAAAACTTGTCCAGGTCAGGCAAAGTGACCTTGGCTTGGAAGCACACACCTCACTTAAGAAATGTTCAACATGTGGCTGCGTTTCCACTGCATGAATGGGCATTATGTCTTTGGTTCAGCGCGATTGACTCTATGATTGTCTTCCACGGGCTCCTTTCTTGATATATGCAAAAAAAAAAAAAAAACCTGAAAATGATTCAACTGATGTCATCTGATACATTGCGGTAATTAAAGGCGCCCGGCGCTTTGTAATGTCCATTTCTTGATTCGTTCATTACATTTCCACCAGAACTGTAAAAAAACAACAACAAAAAATAAATTTATGAAGTAGCTGACAAATCATTGTAGAAAATGGATGGATGAATATTCCACACATTGTTCCGTTGGAATTAAATTTCTGCTTTTGATATTGCGGCAATGTGTGCAGCTCTTCATGTGAGATGAAGATTTTAGGCACTTCGCAGCAATCGGAATGTAACCCCGTTGGAGCTCTGCAGGTTTGTTCCCTTTCTGTCTTAATATTCATAGAAAATAAGCTTAATACATTCAAACACTTGTGTGATTATGTTTGTCTGCTAGGAACTGGTGGTCCAGAAGGGGTGGCGTCTACCAGAATACACAGTGACACAAGAGTCCGGTCCGGCGCATCGCAAGGAATTCACCATGACCTGCAGAGTGGAGAAATTTATGGAAATCGGTACCAAATACAAACACAACATTCCATTAGGCCATTAGGATCTCATTAAATTTGGAAAGGTGTACCAGTGAGTGGTCAATGTTAATAAAACTGGCGTGCCATTTTCCGAATCAGGTAGTGGTACATCCAAGAAGTTGGCCAAGAGGAACGCGGCTGCCAAAATGCTAGCGCGGATACACGATGTCCCGGTGGACCTCAGGACCAGCAACGACGGCGACGCAGAAGATGATACATTCAACGCGGTGAGGGACTTCAAACACGTTATCTACATACTTAGGAGGTGCACAATGAACCGGTTATTTGTCGTCGCATGCTGTTACTGCTTTACTCATAGTTTTTCATTGGTTGCTTTGGGGTATTTTGATTTGTTTGTTTTTTTTCTCATATATGTACTATAATGAAGGCTTTATTACTGCGTTAGCAAAGGGTAGGGTTCTGACTTGATTACGAATAATGATTTGGTAAAGATTATTGCCTGATGAGACCAAGATTGAAATTTTGGCCATAACTCCAAAAGTTATGATTGTTGCAAACATCATCACCAAAATAACACCATAACTACAATGAAGCGTGGTGGTAGAATGGTCAATGGACTGTCACTTGTACAGCGCTTTTCTACCTTGGGTACTCAAAGCGCTTCACATTGTTACCTCATTCACCTACTGATGACCCAGCCAGCATCAGGAGGAACTGGGGGTTCAGTATCTTGCTCAAGGACACTTGGACATGGTCGCAATGGCCAGGGACTGAACCACCAGCATCTGGGTTGGGAAACCACCACTCTATCACTGAGCCATGCTGCCCCCCTTCATGCTTTGGGCCTATTTCCTTCAGCTGGAAGGGCCTGAGATATGGTGGAGGGAATTAGAAACACTTCAAAATAGCATTCGATATTGGCTTATGCAAGAAAGCAAAGTAAAAAAATTGAGGGGAAAAAAGGTCAAGAAAAGTAATTTGTCGTGGTCTCACTTTTCCTACAAAAAAATAATCTATCATTTGAACATGGGTTTGTATATTTTTTATATTCAGTGTATTTACCATATTGCCTTAAGCAGTGGCTATTATGAGTATTATTGTACAGTAAGTAGAAATAGATAAAGAGTAGGTTTGTGGACATTCCAGTTATTTTCCTTTGATTAGGCCAAATGACAACAGGATACTCTGCATTACTTATATTATAATCTATATGGCCGCTTAGCATGCGGGGAGCAGGGCAGAGTCGGGCAAGAGCAAAGGCTACAGCTGCACGTGGGATGCGCTCAGGAACTCGGCTGGTGAGAAGATTCTACAGCTGCGCAGTCACCCCCTGGGCATACCCGATGACTCCAACTTCTGCTCGCTACTCGACGATCTGTCAGCTGAGCAGTGCTTTGACATCAGCTACCTAGATCTCGGTACTTCTCTCTTTGACCCTCTTTAACGTGCTAAACACTTGTACAAGTGTAATAAGAACTACTGACACCTAAAAAAGGAAAAAAACCCTTCAAGACAACACAAAACAGTGTAGGGCTGAAACTGTTTTTTGGAATAATTTGATTGCAAAAAGTCAAAACAAAATCTCTACATTAAACCTTCACAAAAATTTAAAAAGTAAAGATAGAGAAATGTCCCGAACCAGAATTATTGAACATTTTTAAAAAGATGCAGAAATGCAGTGTGTCTCCTGCAAAGCAGAACTAAATGTAGGAAAACAGCACATCTACAATTGCCAGTTAGAATGTACTGTAATGCCCCTCGCAAGTGGACAAAGATGGACAGTTGGACTTTCACTCCATTTATTGAGCAAACAGTAGCAAACACAGAATAAACACATTGACACACTAGCCGTGAGTCGTGACAGCTACATCTTACCCGAGTCACTCAACACGCAGACTTGCTGACAGCCAGCCAAGTTATTACAACTGTTACGTATTGACAGGCAATGCCAAATTGTATAGGTGGCTGTCAAAGTTCTTTTGTGGCGGCCCGCCACAGGTAATGTGCTATAGGTATATGTGGGGAAACACTATGGCTGTAATGGCTTATTTCACTTGGCCAATCGATGTCATAGATCTGCTCGACGAATTAAGACATTACAGCCAATCACAAAATGTGTATAAAACACAAATCCAATATATCCAACATAGCTCAGTCAAATACACACTCAGTCTTAGATGCTACTACAGTAGAATGTGAGGATGGAGACCCCAAGTGAACAAAAATACATGGCTAACATGCTTATGTTTAATAATGAAAAATATATTTTCCTAAGCTTAAGCAATGGTCAAAACATAGTTAACAGCTGCAACCTTAATCCATTCATTAATTATTGTATTATTTTTTGTCTGTGTTAATGGATCCTTGTCTTTGGTTTCAGAGGAGCGAAGCCTGAGTGGCCGGTGCCAGTGTCTGGTGGAGCTGTCCACGCAGCCAATCACGGTGTGCCACGGCTTCGCCGCGAACACTGAGGACGCTCGTGCCAACGCTGCCCACAATGCACTGCAGTACCTTAAAATCATGGCGGGGGCAAAGTGACCGTCGTGGATGATGACAACTTGAAATACCTCCCATTTTTACAAAAGAAGACCTCTTTGGAAATAGGCCCGCTTATTTGACATCAAAATGATCCAGGTGAAGATTTACATGTTCCCAAATGTCCGTTTTCTCTTGTTGGATCATCTCTCACACTTATTTGTTGACAAAGAAATAAGGACAGATTCAGCTACAAGTCTATTTATCCATCAAGGAGCTATCAAGGATCCTGACTTTCTGATAAGGTCAAACAGATCACGCACACAATAAAGACACTTCTGAATAAAAATTTTAGCTGTTTTAACAATATACATTTGGAAAAAGTTAAGAACGGTGTTTGTTTTTGTCATGGTAATGATTTTAAGACTTTGTTTTTTAAAATCGTCACATGGGTCAATGGACTTGTTATAAACGTTTGAATCTTTTTGGGACAATGTGGAATAGTCCTATTCATACACCAATTTAAATGTACAACTTGTTGCCAGTGTTGAAAAAATGTTGAATTACCTCAGTGTGAGACTTGTGTTCCAAAGGAGATTCCTTTTTTAATATAGTCAGCAATTTCTATTCATGTAATCTCTTTTTTTTTCCTATCTGTTTTAGTTTGGACTTTTGCAGCATTCCGTGTGCTGTTGCACGTGTGTATTAAGCCATGTGCACTGTGCGTGGATCCTTGTAGCAGATTATTCAAGTGCTGCTCTCTATCTCTTTATCTTTTTTTTTTTTTTTTTTTATGAATACCCCCCAAATATGTTCTGCCCCTTTTTTTATTTTAAATGGACCTTGTGAAAAACATTAAAACAACGATAATCCAATTCAAGTTGTTGCAAAGCTGACTGAATTGGATTGCACTTTGAACTATTTTGCAACCTGTCACAATGAATTGCAGAATTTTATGCATACTATCGGAATGTCACCGTTTGTGAGTGAAATTGTGAATAATGCTGCACTTAAAATAGATGAGTGACAAATACACACGCCTTTCAAATTGTACCTTTGTGTTATGTTGGTGTTTCTCTTGCTCTCTCTTCCTCCTCGACACGATGCACCTGTTGGGAGCAAATTGAGCATGTCAATTTCCAGCCGAAAGATCCACTGAGGTGCACCCAGACTAGTTGACAGTCAATTGCAGGGCACTTTTGACATCTAACAATTCACAATGACATTAATGACTCTGGAGAATTTAGTTTTCACCGCACACTTTGCACAACATGGATGTTTGTGGAAAATGGGAAAAACCCAAAGCACTTGAAGAAACTGTTCTAGGTCGACAAACCTCCTCCAAATTTAAGGAGATCATCTTATCGCAGTTCTTGAGGTAGTCGATGCATCTTGGAGGCTTTGCAGGGAAGATATCTGAAATTGAATGTTGACAGACATCTGAAGACACTGTCGGGGTCTGGACTGCAAGTTGTCTGGATGCAGACTCAGAGGCTGTGGACTTGTTTGGAACTCCATGGCTTGACTCGTCTTTGTCTTCCGTCTTCCAAAAGACATTATGTAAGATGTTGGCTTGATGAACACGCTCGACTATCTTTGGACTGATTAGCTCATAGGTTACCGTGGACACCGGTTTCAATTTTGAGAGGCTTTGATTTTGTTTGGCATGGGTATCAAAAACAACTTGTGTTGCCACATGTTTGTCTTTTTCTTCGGGTCCATTATTAGTCTCGGTCTGGACCTGCTGGGGGACTAGATCAGCCACAGACAGGCTGGACCTTCTCCTTGCTGAGGTGTAGAGGCACATCATGGAGACGGTGTCCTTCAGCCTCTCACTGGGGGAGCGCAGCTCGCTTCTCACACTGCTCTTGGTGGGCGTCGACAGGGCGAAGTTGAATTGTGGCGCTCCGAGTTTGCGCAGGGGGGTGCGAGACACGTGCGAGTACAGTGAACAGAACGCGTTGGCCATTGCGGTCAGCGCTTGGACTTGTCTGAAACGACCTGTAGGAAAGACGGAAAGGACACGTGTGAACAAGCTCATGATTGTGCATCTCTTTAGTCATAAATACTGGGGAGTGGAATCTCCAAAATTGAACACGACTGATTTGAAGTGAATTGGTTGAACTTCCAAGATTTCATCTCAAACCCATTTTACCCTAATTGAAATCATGTAAAAAATATACCTTTATTAACATGAACCCTTTCTTAAATTCTTGGCTGTATACTGGAGCAGCATGATCATACAGCTAGCCACAATAGGTTCTATTACTGGTTCTGTTGTCATCACAATTCAAGTGACATCAAACAAAAACAAAAAAAAAAGCACAAAAAAAGACATGCATTCTTTTGATGCTTCCTAAATTGCTCGGGACTTCCCAACTTCATGCATGCATATGTTTTGCTTGACTTGTATTTTTGTAGATTGTTTTGAACTCCAAATCGTATCACTTTTGGGGAGGTTTCACTGAATGACATCAACATTTAGTGGAGTGATCCCCCAGAGCCAAAAGGCAACACTGCCTCTCTGGGCTCCCCCCTCACAACAGTCCAACCCATGACATTGACTATTGGATGAATTTTCTCAGGCTCTTACTTGCTATACACAGGCTGGGGTCCTCCTCGCGTATCCGTCGGACCTGCGACTCCAGGAAGAGGCGGAAGTTGATTCCACGAACTTGAGAGGGGAAGGAGAGGAAGCGAGGGGGAATGCGCACAGTCAGCTGCGGGTCATCGCAGCCGAACCCCAACTGCCACAGCATCTCTTCGGCATCCTCCGAACGTGACTGGAGCACCTCTGAAACACTGGTGTGAGAGAAAGGAGGGATCACTTACCATAAGGGGATCAAATCACGCTCAAATGTACAGTACTGTATACGGACAGACCACCACATTAGGTACAAGAGTAGTACTGTATTTAAAAAGAAGTATTTAACATTTTGTGGCTGGAGCTTTCAACGGTGCCAAAAGAACAGATGGAACATTGACTCTTTGAATTTCTTTTATACAAACAGTTGGGTATTTGAAATGCCACCCATCAAAAGTAATTTTGTTTTGTCATCTACCTTATTTCTTAAAATTTTGAGAATTCAGAAAATCTGTACAAAATTAAACCAAATAAATCCAGATATTGATTGTAATTTAGCACGCTAGGACAAATAGGTTTCATTATTACTTGCTGGTGAGGTCAATGTGTCTTTCGTTGCTGGCAGGGTGCATTGTACGTCTTCAGACTCGGCATGGAATACCAGAAAGATACTTTTTTTACCTTGAAGGGTGAGTACAAGGACTGATTGAGTTCAATTAGAATAAATATAATGGCATCACAGTTCAAAACAACGCGCGACTGCATTTCTCACTCACCCCACTTTGGATGCAATGTCTCCCACCGTTTAACGTTGAATATGAAATGTAGTTTGGAATGCAAAAAAGGAAGGAATGTCAATGTGCATCTGGTAGATAAGTGCCCCTGCTCATCCGCGTGTGTGTGTGTGTGTGTGTGTGTGTGTGTGTGAGAGAGAGAGAGAGAGAGAGAGAGAGAGAGAGAGAGAGAGAGAGAGAGAGAGAGAGAGAGAGAGAGAGAGAGAGAGTGTGAATATATACGTGTCACTGTAACATAAATACTAATAGATGCCACAAGATGGCAGCAAAGCACTACCTTTTGCAGTATTCCCCTTTTTTTTCCTCACCGGGTACTGGCTCGAACAAATAGATACCGGTAACTCTCCAAGTACTGTACCACCATAATGGCAAAAATAAATTACAGTTGCACAGTACACGTGAGCGGTGATCACAAAACGAGATCGAGATTTTATTACTACAGAGTATTTTTTATATATAAAAACCCTTTCACGTACCAATCGAGAAAGTGCTACAGTACATGTAGCAGATCTGGGAGCATCACTGATGTAAATGAAGCCCTCAACTCATTCAAAATCTTTCATTGGCATCATAATACCACCAGAGGGCGCTACAGAAATATTGTTATTTCTTTGGCTGGAGGAAAAAAAACAGCAAACGAATGACTTTTTCAGTAAATACCAGACAAACTTAGCATAATTCTATCATATGTTGACATGAGTACCTGAAAAGGAACATGATTTGAGTTCTAAAAAAAAAAATCTGTAATGCTATTTTGACCATTCAAATAGCAAGTATTATTGGATCTCACTGGATCATGTCCAGGCTCATGTAAAGTTCTGTTCATACCCAAACTCCAAATACAGTAGTTATGCAAGCAGGCAGAGGCCTGCAACACACAACCACATCTTCGGTATGATGCCTATGAACATATTCAGTTTGTGTTGCGTAATGTTTCTAATGAAGAAGAGGCGGCATCTGCATAGTAAAACAACCTCATCAGCTCTCCATGTTTCCTAGTGTGTTGATCACCATCAAGGGCAACATGTTCAAGACTACTATTGACTGACTGCTCGAATGGCTCATCATCTTGAATTTTTAAATGTGACTTGTTTATGTGTTCAAGACGTCAACTAGGCCCAGTGTGTGGGCCTCCTGCCTAGACACACTTTCACAACAGGATGAAGTAAAAGTTATGAGGGGGAGGGCTATTTTTGGGAAGTTCCCAGAAACGTTCCATGGTTGAGGGAGTTTGGAAATATTTTTTGAGAAATGGCGAGACTTAACAATACTGCGACTGTAACTATTCTTGTTGCCTTTTCTTTACTTTTATAAATTTTGTTTTATTGAGTATGTATGTAAAGTTGCTTCACACGTAGATAACTGATGACTATTCTTTCTGCCTCTCGTTCAATGTTACATCTACATACTGTATGTAGTATATATTATTCTGGTACAGTTGTGACAAAATGCAGCTGACTATTCTTAGTGCCTTATGTTTACATTCACATCTGTATGTACCCCATAATATTTTTTAAAAACACTTTTGTTTGTTTTATTTTGTTTTCTTTTTGACGGACCGGATAATGGATCGATGCATAGTGCAGGGTACAAATTCACCTACCTGGATGTTTTCTTTAAATCTGATTGTGTTATGTGCAATACATTTACGTTCCTTCTTTCGACCCCAGCTCATAATGACCACTTGAATTCAACAGATGAGTTACACAAAATATATTTTGAGAGACTATTGTGTAAAAATCTAAATTATGGCTTTATCCCACTGCACCATTCTGGAACATTTAACCTCAGAGACATTCTAAAGGTTTCCATTCATTGACACGCAGGGCCTTTACAGTCACAAAAGTGTCCAGTTGAAACATAGAGAGCTGACTCACCCGCACTTTTGCAGCAAGAACTCAGTTTTTCCCATGGAGCAGTCTTTAGAAATCACACACACACACACACACACACACACACACACACACACACACACACACACACACACACACACGTACACAACATTTTAATGTGCTTAAGGAATTCCCTTTTTACTGGACAGGAGAGACACATTGCTCGGTTTAAGAGCACCATCTTTCACACTGACCATCTGCAAAGACATCATCATCATCATCTGATATAGATTCGGAGAGGGAGCTGCAAAGGGGGCCCAATTCTTCCAGACTGGAGAACTGTTGACCTCCACTGGCCCACATTCGCCTCCTGGCCGTGGAGGGGGAACTTTCCATAACTGGAGACAGAGCGGCTGATGACACCCTAAAAACAGAACAGCATCCCAAGATGATTTGAATGTACAGTTCTTAATAGACCATCCCAAACAACCAAAGTGCATTAGATGTGTTTAAATGTTGTCAATGTACTCAGTAATTTTAGGAAACCAGTCACCACTTAATTTTTCTCCATTGCCTTTAAATGTCAGAATTTTTTTTTATCTATATATGGTGTATTTTGCCTTTAAATGTTTTGAGTTACCTAATTGTGTCTGTAATGTGCTACATAAATGCAGCTACTTTGCCTTTCCAAAAAGAAAATACTGAAGCTGTTATTGATCCATCCATCCAGCCATTGAAATATCCATCCATCCATCATCCGAACTGCTGGCATTAGGCGGGGTACAATTTATTGTAAACATTTATTTGATCATTTTTCAGTTCTGCATTTTGTTCCTTTGATGTGCCGAATGTGAAGTGAACTGCTAGGTAAGCAGTGAGCTGTTATTTTTTTGCATACGGTTGGTTATACTTACAGCATGTGTGGTTACAGTATGTTTGTCTGTGATAAAGTGGACATTTTGGGAATGCAAACAGACAACACAAGCACAAACACTGCTTCTGTGGGCTGCAGTGGTGCAATATTTATTGTGATTTGCTCTTTCATTCTCTTCATCTTAAATGAAATATGGAACTATAAATAATGCCTTTTCTAACCCCTGTACCTCCCCTATGTGCTGGTGCATTAAAAATAGACTTCACACAGTACTGATCTATCAATGTAACATGTCTGTTCACACATTTCAAGACTTTAAGGTGAAATGAAGAATTAAAATTATTTGCAGATAGGTTTCAGTTTGAGACATACCGTAACTTCACTTTACATTTCCGAGTGGGTAAAATTGAGCTCACCTGAAGGTTATTTTCAAACTTAGCCCAGTTGAGACTGCTGCAGGCTCCGGACGCTTCCGTTTCTCTGCGATAATAATTCATCATTTTGGCCTCTTGCATCACTCTACAAGTCTCAACTCACTTTGAATTGAGGAAGGAGGGAAGTGACTGTAAGCATCTCAAACTGACACATCGCGTGGGACGCTCACCACCGCACATCCTGCATAGATAACAAAGTGACACGTAAGCTAGCATCAGGAGCAGTTCAGATTCAATATTTATCTAACAACATGACAAAACATAAATTTATATATTTATATATATTTATAATATACATCATACTCACTAGAGATGCTGATTATTAAAAATTATTATTGTGTGCGTATGACTATGTATGTGTTTGCAAATCAAACTTGCTTGATCAAATCTTAAAAAACAATCTCAAAGCTCATGCTCTGACCAACCAATCAGAGGACTGCTGGCATTACTGTTGACCAGCTATTTGGCCCTGTGAGGCACATCTGAAATCTGATTGATTAAATAAACAGCCTCATTGCTAATACAATGCAGTGGATATGACAACAACCAGCACTAGTAATCCTGAAGGCCGGGCCCGGGCAGATAAGATTGACATGCCAAAACACAGATGCTGTAATTTGATGGTACAAAAAAAAATAAAATAAAAAATCTACAATTCACATCAATTCTTTGGAATAAATGCAGCCAGGAGAAATTCCAAATTAAGTGAATATATTGTTGGGAATAAATTAATACAATTTCATGGAACAAAGACACGACCCTTGTGAGGTTAAAGCGGATCGGAAAATGGATGGATGAACGGAACAAAGGGGATGTGAATGTTCTTTGTAAAGACTTTGGCTTTGGAACCCGAAGGTCATGGTCAAAGTCCCTCTGTATACAAAATATAGAACAGCAACTTCAGTAACTGTTGGAGAGGTGCGCATCGTCTTCCTGGCTACTATTGAGGTGCCCTTCACCCCACAGCTCACAAAGTAAACATTCTGATCCCCTTTCATTCTGACATCTCTCATTGCAAGCCTGCATATGTGTGATTTAGTTCTGTGTGGTGTGCAATACAAACGATACATTCAGGAGGGTATAAATGGAATGTCCCCTTGAAGGATTATAATATGGTGATCCATGCATGCCTCCATTCATCCCTATCTTATATTTTATCTGTTAAAATTCAGTGATATATTAGAATTTTGGTTGTAAATGTAGGTCAGTGGCTGTGCTTTCTGGCAGCATTTAGAACAGGAAAGAAAGGCTTGCAGGCCCTGATTAAAGATGATAGCCCAATTTGGATATTTTCACTAAAGGAAGCACTCACATTTGTTGCCAGTCGTTTCAAAAGTAATGGCTGCGCATTGAGTTATTTTGAGGGGACAGTCATTTTACACTGTTATATTGGCTGTCCACTAATTACCATTGTTTAAAAAATTTAATTTCTTCAGCGCTGTCATGAAAACGTTTTGCTTTTGTCTCTGACTGTAACAAAGCAGACATGATATGACTATTGCGCAATCACCCTATCGCGATACTACCGTCTTCAGTGGCAAAATATCGCGATGGTATCTTTTCGTGAGTTCCTCTCCGACTCCTACACCCACCGCCGGTGGCTGTGAACTGTATTGGCTTTTGTTTATGTGGGCACATGTGCTGCTATACTGACAGCCCCCTTGCACGGCGGAATTATCCAAAAACCCTCCCACATAGAGCCATTCCCTGCCCCCGGCGCGGTTCGGGCCTTTCCTCTCTCTTCCACCATGGCCGCCCCCCGCCCGCCTCCGCGCTCTTTCCCAGCCCACAGGGCGCCACCAAGGGAGTGGCTAGCAGCCACGGAGGCAAGACTCAAAATAACCAGCCCGCCTTCTACAGTCCACACCCGCCCAATTCCGTGTTTACATGCATGGATCTATCTTTCGCTGTTTTGCTGTGAAAACACGAACAAGTTGGCGCGAGGGGGAAATTTACACGCATTTAGTGTGACCAACTAACATGGCGCCTTTTACGAGACGAAAAACAAGAAATCCCACGTCTGGTTTTCTCAAGTGGCGCAACCTAGTTTGATTGAACCCGCCCTCTTTTCGACTAGTAGCCAATAATAATAGCAGGTTTAGAGTTGTTGCGGAAATGACTTGCTAGAACAATCTCCATTGGTGTGAATGGTAATCATTTGTAAAAGGAGTGCGCTTCTTTTCTAGCCCTCCCTCCCAAAAAGTACACTCAATGCCTGAACTGTAAATATAGTGTGGAGTCAAATTTTGATAAAGCACCGAAATAAAATTACAGTAGGGCATGAAACCGTCATCTCTGTAAAACTACAATCTGCCACAGAATTGTGACTTTTAACACAACTGGGACAGGCAGAGGTGGCAAAAATACCCCAAGAAGTACAGATGGGTGTTTAAAAACGTAATAGTAGACGTACTGACTCAACTCTTTAAATTAAAAAAAACAAAAAACTACAGACTGAAATATGAAACAAAAGAAAATTTAAGCTTTGCTGTCAAATAAAATACCCACTTTTATATATTGGCACGATGAAAAATGATACTACACAAAAATAGTTTCCCTTTTTTATTGACTTATGTCATCAACAACATCAAGCAATTCTATTCAGTCCACGGATAGGGAATATCTTGCTTATCTAAGACTGTAGTATTTATCTTTAATACTCAATTGGTTGCCAATCATCCCTCTCACTGTAAACCGGATTTTCTCTCCTAATGCCCCAAAATCTAAATGAAAATCTCTGCCTCAGTCGGGTCTCTATTTACATATTTTTTTTACATTGTTTCATTGTTAAGGTTGAAAAAAATAATAGAAGAGATTAGATTTCTGTTATGAAATGTAGGTAGTACAAGTAAAATAAGTCAAAAGAAAAAGGAATGGAATAACATGAAACGTCTACTGCCTATAATGATTTGTACTGTACTGTTTGATTCCCACCAATGGGAATTAGGTATGCGTGTCACTCTCAGTGGATCTTAACCAGCTCGCTGCAGAGCAAAACAAGCGCACCCTCATAGGTTTCCTTCATAGGGGGGACGGGAGGAGGCCGACAAGTTTGTGTGAAGTTGGGAAAAGTTGTCAACTAGAAAAAGAAGAGAAACTCCTCCCGTCTTGAACATTATGAGCAGTAAGTCAACTTTTTTTAAGGTGTAATTCTCCTCACGGCGAAGCGTCAAAACTCCAGATAGACAACGCCAGATAGACACGTAGTTGAAAGTACGGCCGTTTTATAAAGTTTGATACTGTATAATATATATGTATATATGTACATATACATATATAATCGGTTGATTTTTGCGGATTTCTTGTCTCTGCTGTTGAACAGAACTACTTTACTGGCCACTCTCGCGGATTGGGCTAAAGAGTTTTCTTCCACTCCGATCAAAGGTTATTGTTAACGTTCACCTCTTCAGGAGTTGGGAACTAGTTTGTGCGCACTGATCTGTGGGTACATGCCCTCATTGATCTGTGGTTTAAAACTCATGTTAGCGCCGCTAATACGAAAGCTGGTTAGCACTGGCTTCGAGCACTTGTGGCATGCCTTGGTTGTCTTCATGAATGCCACGTAAAGTTTTAACCTTGGCTTTTTTATGAACATTGAACGCGGTTCGGTGCCACGTCGTTGCCGCGATAATGGCACCTACACGACGACGGGGTGAAAAGTCTTAAGTAATCTTTTTTTGAAAAAAAAGTCTTCTTCCGCAGATCAGCAGCAGGGTGAAATGGCCGCGGTGGAGAGCGGCGGAGGCTTCGGTCAAAAGCGAAACTCACAAGTAGGTCAACCAGATCTCAACCGTGGTCATTCTTGTGTTGATGGTTTGCGTGTGTGTAGATTTTCATTGTTTCGCTGTGTTGTTTCTCTCCGCGGAGCACATGTCACTGGGTGGGACGTGGGCAGGTAAAGTTCGCCCACAAACGGGGTGTTGCCGGCAAACCCCCTCGCTCGCGGTGCCTCTCGCTCGGCCCATTTGGCTGGCATCGGAGTCGGAGGGGGAGGGGGGAGGTGCGGGGTGGCCATCGGAGCCGTGTGAGATTATAGGGCCGCATTTCAAGTGGGTGGGATTTTTACGGTGGGGGAGGGGGGATGCAGGCTCTTCCTGATCGCCCTCCCCTCGTATTTCTCGTTTTTTTTGGGTAATTTTTAACAAAACTTCAAATATGACATGTTGATTTATAACCAAATTACATTTCAACTTTAAATTACTAATGTTCAAGTTATGGATTTTTCAATCTTTTAGTTAAAAAAAAATACATTTGCTATATGTTATGCAACACCTTTGTTCAAACTTACAAGTGCAGAAGTCAATTTGATTTAATTATTTTATGTTAATGTATTTTATTGTTTATTCAGTCATTATACAGTAATCCACAATACACACTACTGCTATCAATATCACATATACCATCATTGGTGTGACAGAATGGTAAAGGCAGAAGCTAATGCTTATTTAAGCCTGTTTGTTTTTGTTTTTTCTCTTATTAACATTTATTTAAATTACTACTTTACAAATATCAGTAAAAAAAACAAGGCAAAAAACCCCAGACATTTACAACCTTCAAAAATAGCTGTAAACCAGTACATTACATTTCAAATGCAAATTTATTCATTTATAATTGCCTTCATCAGTTTCAGCATTTTCCCTCAAAGGATACAGTATATTGTCTTTCTAAATTGAATGCCAGGCAAGTGATTTGTACATCTCATTGCCTGCGATTGGCTGGCCAGCAGTTCAGGGTGTACCACGCCTACCACCCGAAGACAGCTGGGATAGGCTCCAGCGCATGCGCAAACCCACTGAGAATAAGCGGTTCAGATAATGCATGCCTCCATCCATTGGATATGGACATGGATGAAAAATACAGTACATTTTAAAAACTGTAGAAAATGACTTCCATTGAATTCATTTCTATCAAATATATTATGTGATTTGAAAATTTGATTTTAACCTAATGTGTTTTTTAGGAGTGTAACGATTCATCAATTTTATCGATGTTTCAATATGTCTGTCCTGCAATACAGCTACATCAATCCGCGCTGGACTGGTGTACATCAATGCTGGCCACACATCGACACATATTTTCCAGTTATTGATCGATTGAATCGATCATCATTAGTGAAATCATTTTATACTCACAATTCCCAATGCACTTCTTTCAAAATTGAATGTTATTTTTCATCAACTTTTGTTTTTCACTCGTGCGCACAATCTCTGGTCGGCACTTGGGATTTACTTCACGAAAAGCAACATGAATAATTGCAGCAGGGAAGAGGAGGTTTTTAAAATGAAATGAACGTGTGTGGTTGGTGTGTGTGTATGTATGTATGTATGTATGTGTATATATATATATATATATATATATATATATATGTGTGTGTGTGTGTGTGTACACGTGCGTGTGTTTCATGAGTTTTCACCTAGGTTCAGACCCCTTAAAAATGTTTTTTTTTGTTTTTGTTCTTTTAGAAATGGCACATCGCCACGGCCACAACCTTTCACATTAAACATGTCTCGATGAAACACTCAAATTTGAAGATGGATAAAATGTCTAGGAGGAGTTCATTAAAATATGACTCTGCTCTTTGGGGCGGCATTGCTCAGTGGTCATCTCTCAATCCAGAGGTTGAGGGTTTGTTTGATCCATGTCCATTATGACCATGTTGAGGTGTGCTTGTGCAAGATACTGAATCCTAGGGGTGGGAACCTCTGGATACCCTAAGACACGATAGGCGATACAACACTCACAATAATGATTATCTCACAATATGACGATACAGTGATATATTTGTGAGGAAATCAATCCACGAAAATAAAACAACAAATTGTACCCACTCTACCAGTATTGACTTCCACTCATCTAGACAGCTACATGTTGTAAATCCTTTATCTCTTATGTGTTTATTTTGTATATTTCCCCTTACCGCCCTTATTCAGGACTCTCAGCAGCCATCTCCACTGGCCATGCTGGCGGCCACTTGCAGCCGCATTGACACGCCAGGCGAGAACGACTCCCCCGGAGAGCAGCAGCAACAGCAACTGGACATGAGTCAAGGTGTCTTTACCTCCAATGCCAATGGCTGGCAGGTTGTCCCCATCAGTTTGTCGGCATCATCGTGTGGCAACACGGTCACCACCGACTCTGTGAGCGTACAGACCGGCGGTGAGCCTGGGAAGAGCAGGGGTTTGTTGTCACCATCATCATCAGTGGCCGTGAGCGCTCAGCAGCAGCAGTTTGTGGTCGCTCAGGCGCCAACGCTGCAGAGCCAACCGGTGCTCACTGCCATCCCCAGCGTGATGCCCAACATCCAGTACCAGGTCATTCCTCAGTTCCAGACGGTCGACGGCCAGCCTCTGCAGTTTGCACATAGCCAGCAAGATTCCACTGTGACCGCCGCCACAGCTTCAGGACAGCAGTTCCAGATTGTGTCTTCTGCCAACGGCCAGCAGATCATTGCCGCTGCCAACAGAGGGACTGGGGCAGGGAACATCATCGCCATGCCTGGTCTCATTCAGGGCCCCATTCCGCTGCAGAATATCACCCTGGGCAATGGCGTGTTGCAAAACCAGACCCAGTTCCTAGCAAATATGCCCATGTCGCTCAATGGGAACATTACCTTGTTGCCCATCAGCACCGGAGCGAGCGCTCCAGCAGCGGACGGAGATGCAAGCGCAAGTCAGCTCGTACAGCAGCAGCCCACGTCCTCCAGCGGCAGCGCGGGTTACATGACCAGTGTGTCCACCGTCACCACACCGACCTCCTCCACATACGGAATGACGCAGAGCAGTAATGGAGCAGTTGTGGCGACATACCAACAGAGCACGTCTTCTCTGGGTGTCCCCATACAGCCAGACAACAGGGAGCAGCACCAGCAGCAGCAACAGCAGCCAATCCTCATCCAGCCCCAGCAGGTCCTTCAAGGGGCAACGCCGCTCCAAACCATCCAAGCCGGTACCATCACAACGGCAGGCGGTCAGGTGTTTGCCGCCCCAACTCTTAGCCAGGAGGGCCTCCAGAACCTCCAAATTATGCCAAACACTAGCCCCATCCTGTTACGCACGGTCGGGCCCAACGGCCAGATCAGCTGGCAGACCCTGCAGATCCAGACTCCAGCAGGGGCGCAGATTACGTTGGCCCCAGTAGGCCAGACTCAGGGAGCCCCCACCGCCGGAGGAGTATCGGTCAACACTGTGCAGATCCCCGGTCTCCAGACCATCAATCTCAACACGCTCGGAGGCTCAGGTCTTCAAATGCACCAGCTCCAGAGCGTTCCCATCACCCTCACTAGCACAGCAGGTCAGTCAGGAGGGATCTCCTCTATATATTGTTCAAGTTAACATGTTTGCGATTATAACTGTGTGGGTGTGTGTGTGTGAACAATCAAGGGAAATGGAGAAATGTTGACATTTTGAAAAAACATTTGGTATGTACACAAACACTTGCCATTTCACCACTCAGTGAGGTAAGGGCTCTATGAGCATCTTAACAGTTAATTGCAAATGTTTAGCTTTTTCGTGATGGTACTACTCATGGCACAGAGCAGTGCGGATGATGACTGAAAATTGAAATGGAAGGCGTGTCTCCAACCTTGCTACTTAGTTCAGTGTAGGGCTGCAACTAAAGATGATCTCAATCATGAATCCATTTATTTTGTGTGTCAATCACTTTATTGGATTAAAAAATAGTTAGTTTCCATTCTTGTATTCCAAAACAGGACATTACTTAGAATTGACAGTGCAGAAAATGCACAGGCATAAATTATGATTCAGTTACTGGATTGGTCTATAGCATGTCAGAAAATGAGCAAAAATGCTAATCATTGATTTCCAAAGTAAAAGCAGATGTTTGCACATGGTTATTTTTGACCGAGGATAAATCTGCTACCATGGTACAAATATCTGAGAATATTTACTATTGAGAGATTGAAATTCCAAGTACCGGTATTTGTACAATTTTTAATCAAAGAAGGCCTCCAAATAATCGATTGTCAAAATAGTTATAGATTAATTGTCGATTAATTATTGCACTTCTAGTTCGGTTTGCCATTACTTACTGCAAATGACCTGGCCGCATTGCTTGAAAATAGAAAATTACTCTGTCGACAGACGTGAGTAAACACGCTAAGTAAACCTGCCAAGCATCCCCCCCGCCCCCCCTATTGCACTTCTAGTTCGGTTTGCCATTACTTACTGCAAATGACCTGGCCGCATTGCTTGAAAATAGAAAATTACTCTGTCGACAGACGTGAGTAAACACGCTAAGTAAACCTGCCAAGCATCCCCCCCCCCCCCAAAAAATGTTTTCTCTTCCCAATCCAATCTGTCTCTTATCTCTGTTTGATCTACGGTGCGTTGTGTTTGTGTGTACCACCGGTGCAACCAGTCAAACCACTCCAACGGCTGTGTCAGTGTGTGTCCCGTGTGTCGTCATCAGGCTCAACCACAACTTCTATGGAGGAAAAGAACGGGGTGTAACTTGACCCCTCCCTTCACTGTGTCGCAAACATGACTCCCGTTAGGTTTCTAAAGATTGATCACATAAATGCAGTCAAACATTCCTCTCCACAGTTCTCTCAATCAATTACCCATTTCGCGATTTCTTGAAATAGTTGTGTACATTTTCCAGAGAATATGCATTAATCATACAGTCATGTGGGAGGTGCTTATCTATGGTACACAGGCGCTCTATCTCAAAAAGAACTTTGTAGAACATTTTATTACTTTCAAGAGTTAAATTCAAAAAGCATAACTTGTATTTTGTACAAATTCGATAAACACATGTGAGGGATAATATGTTTCAGAAGGCCGAAGCCTAATCTATATGTCAAAAATCCCTTTAATTTGTTAATGTAATTTTGGGTTTCAGTTAGCCATAAGACAATCATCAAAACAATAAAAAAATAAAAAAAACAGACTCATCACATATACAACTGCGTAGAGAACCAACGGGATGTGTTCCACTTTTTAAATGGAACAATTTAAATGAATTACAATTTCCATTCTCATTAATTGAAATCAAAATATGTGTCCTTTTGGTTCTGATCTGAATGTGACTCTTGTCACACAAACGTGTCCAAAAGTTGGAGAACTGGAGGTAGTCCTTGTTTTGTGACATAAAGCATTTTGAGTTGACAAATGGTACCCGTTGAAAGATAACATCAGCCCCATGACACAAGATGACATGTTCAGCTACCACCGTGCTTCCTGTTTTTTTTTTTATTTGACTTTGATATTTCTGACTGAGAAGCACAAACATTTATCTATTTATGACTTCAGTTTTGGGGATAGACTACGGTGTGTTCAGACTGCAGTGAGGGAAATGATACCAACTTGAAAAAATATTAACTGATTTTTAAAATGTGAGAATGGTAGCATGCCGCCACATGGCATCCAGACTGCTGGTAAATACCAAGAAGAATTCTTAGTAATAGAAGAAGCAATGTTGTTAGCTCATCCAGTAAACAGACTGCGGTTTGCAAACTTTTCTCCTTTGCATTTTTTTTTTTGTGGTGAATGATAAGTGTTGCAGAGAATGAAATAAATTGTGTGATACGTTTTGGAAAGAATTAACAAACCCAGTCGTCCAAGCTATGCCACACTTCCTGGTTGGCTATCATCTTGTTTCACATTACAATTACGGAATCAGTGTAGCAGCCCAACTGCACATGGAAGGATTTACCATTGTAAATCCTGAACAGCGCCTGACTGTTTCTTGAGCAGGTCAGGGTGGTGAAAAACAAACAAACAAAAAAAGATAGTTAATATCTCACAGGATAATCTTTTAATCAGTAAAGAGGTTTAAAAAGTGTGTGCATCCCACTTGAGGTAAATGACAATATAGGCAAGTGCATATTTCAGAATTATAAATGTGTTTTTCTGAATTTGCTTAAACTGCTCTGCAGGAGACCAAACGTTGCAGACAGGCCCAGAGAGTTTGGATGACAGCACAGCACTCGACGACGAGGACATCAGCCCGCCCTCCCAGGGACGTCGCAACCGCAGAGAGGCCTGCACCTGTCCTTTTTGCAAGGATGGTGAAGGACGGTACGTCACGGTCACACCATGACCTCAACCTAGACAAGGCCAAATCCCCGTTTTCTTGACATTGGTAAGCTTATTTTGTGTGTGTGTGTGTCTGTGTGTGCTCTGTCACCCCCCCCCAAAAACAGTGACCCAACCAAAAAGAAGCAGCATATTTGCCACATGTCAGGATGTGGCAAGATCTATGGCAAGACGTCACACCTTCGAGCCCACCTGCGCTGGCACACTGGCGAGCGGCCTTTCGTCTGCGGCTGGGCCTTCTGCGGCAAGCGATTCACACGCTCCGACGAGCTCCAGCGCCACAAGAGGACGCACACAGGTGAAGGGGGTGCAGTGTAACCGCTTTAGCTTACGGCCTGAGAAAGACCAAAAATGTGTCTCAAAATACATCTTTTGTTTTCATGCATGACGCACATTTCCTTGAGCCTACATCAGCCCTGCTCAACATGTAGCGATAGAGAGGTTCTAAAATCAGGCAAGATGCCCTGATAACTGTATATTCTGATGCGCATTTGTCTCCATTTTTCCCCAAGGTGAGAAAAGGTTTGGCTGTCCAGACTGTCCCAAGCGCTTCATGCGGAGCGACCACCTCTCCAAACACATCAAAACCCACTTCAACAAGAAGGGGGCGCTCCCCAGCAACAGTGGGGCCGCTGTGTCCGACACCCCTCCCGCTGCCCAATCCCCGGAGGGCGAGGCCTTGTCGGCCGGCGAACAGCACTCCATCGTCACCATGGAGACGCTATCCCCAGAGAGCTTAGCTCGGCTCGCCAGCAGCGGGATCAACATGGTGCAGGTGGACCTGAATCATATCAACGGCAACTATTAAGAAGAGCGCGTCGCATTCAGGGACCGCAGACATTGATCAAACAGGATTATGCATTTCGAGTTGAAAGTTTGATTACCTACTTGTTTACAGAAATCAACACGCCCCCACGACTACAATCGTCTTCGTAACGGGACTGCAATAAAATGAAAGAAATTGCATGACATCATCCCTTTGCAATAATAACACCCTCAACAATGCTAATACTACACAGGCCATTACCATGAAAAGCACAAGTTTTAGTTTTTTTCTTAACATCACATAGCTCCATAATGCCAAAATATACTGAAGTTATGTGTATAACCATAACCCACTTTTCCTATGACTGGATAGCCCTGCTCTCAAAGTAAAACAGATGAGTAAGTCAATTATGTTCATGATTACATTGAATTAGAGGGGAACTCCAAAAATGTTCTTTACAAAATTCTGTGCGCTCCCACTCGTCTAAACACGGCATTCTGATTCATGTTGCCTCTGTGGAATATGAATTACCCCGCCTACTGCACGAAGACAGCTGCGATAGACTCCAGCACCCTCCGCGACCCTTGTGAGGATAAGCAGATCAGAATATGGATGGATGGACTGACTGACTAGTTGGGGGTGCATCGAACATATTTCAAAGACAATTTTTGGCTGGTCTTCCCCTTTAAGGTGATTTTCCATTCTTCTTTTTCTTGTTTCCTCAATGCAGCAAACACGCAATTAGTTTCAAAACCACATCAATCGATCTTTGATGCCAAATGGAGCAGTTGTTTTTTTTTTTTTTGTTTTTTTTCCTTTGGGAGAACTGGATTTTCCACACCATCCTGACTCTAGTAAATGCATCTATGGAGACAAATGGCAGCCATTAATGAGAAAGAGAGAATACTTAAAATCCTGAGATTAACTATTTAATATGTTTCGGTACACAGCAAAGCTCATGTGTTATGATTCTTTACGTTTCATTGCAAACAAAACAACCCATCACGTGTATGAGTGTGTGTGTGTGTGTGTGTGTGTGCGTATATAAATATATATTTGTTAAGACAGAAAATTCCAGCTATTTTAGCCTAGGCTGGAATGATGTTGATTGTGAGAGGTTGCCTTTTTAGTTGTTTGCCTCTCGTGCGCAATCTTAATCATATGTTATGAGTTTTGTTGCTGTATGTAGCTCAAGTAAGCAATTCATTTGTATACCAATAGTAATGTTCCAAGGACTTTAACCACCCCAACCACTCTGTGGTACCAGCTGCCACTTTGCTTTGTGGAATTACTTTTATTTGTGAATATGTTCAAAGCCGTACGCCGAAAACAGTCAAAACCAAAGTTCACACACAAGCGGAAAAGAGGTGTGCTCATGTCTTGTTGAGTTGTTACTGGACAAAGTAATCAGCACGCGACACCGGGTTCTTGCTTACATTGTTCCATGTATTAAAAAGGTCAATTTGGAAGAATGCTTGTCACCACTGTGAGAATGTCATCCTTTACGTCACCATGTGTCTGTCTCGGGCTTTATTTTTATACAAACTCTACAGACAAGTTCTCTAACTTTTTCTTCCCCCTGTGTTTTAAATAAGGGATTTTATATTGTATAGTCCTGCAAATGCAAACAGCTGGATTAAAACCTCAATATTCTCTGGTTTTAGCTTACTTTATTGTACTTGTGTCCCACTTAAAAACAGAGTAAGCATAATAGAAACAAACTTTATTGGTTAAAAAAAAATCTGTATATATATTTCCAAATTCACATCTCTGTGTCGTCACCATCACTCTTCAGTTTGTTGCGGAGACTGGAAGATGAAATGTACGTGTTACACATTTTAAATTCACTCAGCTCAATACAGCGGGGTCCTGAGTTTACAAAGTTGCAGTCCATTAATATAAAACAATCACCAAAAAAAAAAACTGCAATAAAATGTGACCATGTATCCTAACACTGTCCAGTAAACTATGTCACTAGATGCCCTTCGGACACTCGAAAACATGTCTGTACCATCATTAATGAAGTACACCTGTAGTGTGGTCTTTCGCTGAAGCATACCTGCTGAGGTAGGAGTGGACATCTGAGAAGCCGTGGTATTTCGCAAGGGGGAACAGGATGCCGGTGGGGCAGCGGCCTTCTCGCTGCCGGCAGAAGCTGCAGTTGCAAATGCCTCGGCAGGGAGGGCACTGCCACTCCTGACAATACACAATACACAACACACACACACACACACACAAAAAGTAATTTAAACACACTTAAAGGATTTTGATCAGCAATATGTTGATGGTAATCTAGGAATGCTGAAACCTGTAATGTGACTGTTTGCAAGAATTAAAGAACATTAAAGAAGTAAGACTATGGAATAGTGTTCCACAAATTCTAGCTGCATTTCTATCATTGTTCACTTTTCGCACGCTATGCTTATTAACGGTGACCCCTATTGAAGAAATGAGAAGTTGGCATCATTGAAAACAATTGTCAAAGGTTGAAAACACGTACAAAATTAACAAAAGGGGAACTTTATACTGTTAACCGTAAATTGGGGATTCTCTATGTGGATAACTACGAAAACGGCAAGGTGGGGAGCAATCGTTTTGGTATATTTTGAGATAATGAATGACTACCTGTGCGACTTTTGACTCATTTTGCTTTGACGGGTAGCATTTGTATAGCACACTGCTGTCATGCAACTAGTGGTGGTGAAAACATGGAGTCACAAGCGTGACAAAAGACAGTTTTGATTCGATTGACAAACAATCCAGGGTGGGCCCCCACTTGTCTTGCTTGAAAGCAGCTGGCATCAGCTCCAGCTCGCCTGTGACCCTGATGAGGATAAGCACTACAAAAATATCGATGGAGAGCCGATGTTGTCTGGAGGGTCTAACCGGATCTAGCAGCGCCTTCTTGACATCCTCCCCGTATCGGTTCCTCAGACATGGCCCGCAGAACTGGCCCTGGATTCCGCGGCAGCTGTTGCTACGACAGCATGTCTTTGTGTCCAACGTCTTTTGTCGACATTGGTGGCACGTGGAGCCCTGGAAAAAAAAAATCAAACAAACAAACGCAACTCTGTTAATATACTGTTCGCCCAGAGCAACACCACATCTTGAGAGCTCAGCAGCCTTCCTAAGGAAGAACTCCACAACAACATAACATACAATGTACACAGAAAGTTGATCTTATTTAAAATTATACATGTATAAATTAAAACATTGTTTTCATTTCTATTCTGACACCTTTTTCAGGATGTCTGGATCACATTTCCGCGCCTCCCCCGACACCCGAGTCCCTTGATTATCAGTATCTGCCGAGACCAAGTCTCAAGTCAATAAATACCTCCACAATGCAATGAAGAAGAAAAAGAAGACCACATCCAAATGGTCTCAATGATGTTAATTTATTTATTTACTCTGAAAAAGGTATCCCAAGATGATACCTTGTATGTGTGCCTGTAAATCAGCAGTGGTTCACATCAGGTAAAGAATTAACATATTTTATTCTTGACTTGGGAAATTATGATTGCCCAGGAAAATAAAAATAAAAAAATTGGCCAATTCGTCTCTCTGATGTAAAGTAAAACAAACATTACAGGAAAATGTATTGTAAAACAGCCAATTGTTCTACATGTAATTAATACCGTTATTGTTGGAAGCCTTAATGGAGCAAAAAAAAGAAGTACCCATAATTGTGTCATCATACTTTTTTTTTTCAATTAAGATTAATCTGTTATTGAAATTTTATTCTGCCAAATGGAATCAATGCAAAATCCATATTGATCGGTCTCTAGATATGATGGCGACAGTTTGATTCCATCCCACCCTCGTGAAATTGCGCTATTTTCTCCGAACAAAAAGGCGGCCAGCATCTTGCAACTGAGTGCCTTCCACTGTACTAAGCAATTACATTTCGTTCATGAAGTAGACTGAGGTGTGGACCTACAGTGACTCTGTTGTAGACTTTCTCAGTCAGGTGGTCGGCCACCAGTTGAAGCTCGTCCTCCGTGATGTCATCCACGGGTCGGATCACGTGAGGGTTGAGATTGGACTGTGGGGTGCTGCGCCGCCGCGGGGCTCGCCGTACCTGGAACCAAAAGTAAAACACAATATGAAAACAGTAAAATTGACCGACACTGTCAAGGAAAGAGAAACTACCTCCAGGAGCTCCTCCTCCAAGCGAAGCCCTAGCTCGGCTTCCTGGGGGTCAGAGAGGTCCTCGTATTTCCCCATGGAGCGGGTCTGGCGGCGCGACACCCGCTCCGGGTTATTCCTGGGCTCCCTTATCGAGCGAGGTGGACGCTGCAGACGGGTTTGTATAACACAACCCAATATGAGACACTGAGAGGCATTCACTGGTCACAATACAGTATTTGGTTCACTTACACAACCCAGTGAGGTGTGGTACAAGAAGCGTGTTAAAATGTCTGCCTTTTTAGAATGAACAAAGCTCATTTTCGAATGACACAGTAAGGAAGGCACCTTACTCCTGGATGGTATGTTCCAATTAGTCACCAGGTATATCACATCCACTTGAGAAAAAAATGAACACTTTGATCAAATGAACACCTGTTTACCCCATTACACACACAAAATGGTTGCAAGTGTAATCGTCGCACTTCAGAGATGCATCCGGCTGCAACGGACAGTTAGGACGGCGGAAAAAAATCATTGGCACCGCCCTACCCACTCTTGAGGACTTGCACACCGCAAGAACCAAGACAAGGGCACGGAAAATCCTACTGGACCGCCCGCACTCTGCCCACCACCTTTTCCAGGTACTGTACTCCCCTCAGGCAGGCGCTACCGATCCATGCACACCAAATCCAGGAGACACTTAAACGGCTTCTTCCCTCTCGCCATTAAGTCCCTAAACCGGGGGTGTCGAACTGATTTCACATTGTGGTCCACATACAGCCTCTGTAGATGTCAAGTGGGTCGGACCATTAAAATTATATCATACTCTGCTATAAATAGCCAAAATAACATGTCTCTCCTTTGTTTTGGTTTAAAGAAGCGCAAGAACATGAGGAAAACGTTGAAATTTAATGAACATATCTTTTGCAAAACATTTCATGAAGCGCCTTAGATTTCCTTTGACAAATGTGCAATTTACTTTTATCTTTCACACATATGCATTGCAACTGATTCCACTGATTGTACAATGACACAAAACTTTAACAAGTAACTGGTAGTTAAAAATATAGTAATGCATTTTAAGATTAAACGAGATTTATAAAGAAAGGAATTTTTAAAACATTTACACATGTGCATATAAAATCTAAATGTAATCCTTGCCTACACTTTACAAACTAAGGAGAGTGCTCTTAAATGGGTAAAGAATTAAGTATTCACATGTCCTTGATAGCGTCCGCTGTGTTGGGTCTTTCTCAGTGACAGACTGAGGCTGCTG